CCTGGACGACGTGAGCCGGCTGACGGAGGCCGTGCACCGCCGGCGGACGAAGTTGCGCAACAGTAAAAGAAATGAAGACACTTGGGGCGCACGGCCTGTGCACAACTTGGCTCAAAAAGATCAAACTGGCAAGCCACGAGAGCAATTCTTTCCCCCGCACTTCTTCAAACGGCTTGGTACTGCATCCGCGCGCTTTGGCACAGGGAGGAACGCCGCAGTGAAATAGCTGTTGACCAGCGCCGGCAACTGTTGCTGGTCCTGTACCCGTTGCAGGCATTCCCTGCTTGACTTGAACACCGTTGCCTGATGTTCAAAAGTGTGAACAGTTGCCTGCCTTACCCTTCAGGAGTCAAGCAAAGTCGCACTGCAACGAAACAACTGTGCCTGCATGCTTTTGTCACTGTACGAGGTGAAACGTTGTGCGCCAGCATTGCCTCAGCCGAGAACAGTGACCACAGCCAGCAGTAGCCTGGCAACGATGCAAGTTCGCACGTGTGGAACACTGCTGGGTTGCTGAGGTGCCTCAAACTATGCGGCTCCAGCAGCTCCAGCTGGAATCGTGAATCCATAGCAGTCTGCCCTGACAGCTGGGCGACAGCACAACCCAAAATTACAAGGCATCGGAACCAAGCGCTCGGCTTGGATTCGCCACGGTCGACTACTGATTCTTCATCTTCTTTAAACCAGCCGCCGTCCTGCAAAGTCCAGCTGAGAGACGGCAATGGGGTGGGGTGTGGGGGATGGAACAAATGGGGTGCGCTTTGACATGCAAAGCTCTCCTTCCGGCGGTAAATGTCCATTTGATAGGCATCGCAGGATACAGTATTTGGGTTCTTCTGCTTGATGGCCTCAAGCAACGCTCAGAGTTGAAATCATTCAAACCCTCCATCTTTGTCATCGCCCTTCTGCAAACAGCTCGCAAGACGGTATGAGCGAAATTCGGCTTGAGGGCAGCACTTCCTTCAAGTATGCCTGCCAACATTGAAGCTAAGACGCACAGCATCCTCCAAGTTCAAGTTCACACAAAAAGTGATCAAAATGCATTCAACAAATACATGGCAGGGGTGCTATGTTTTGCGGCACTGGGTCGATTGGAAAAGCATTGCCAGCGGGCTGGAAGCCGCCACTGCCCTGCAAGGTCAGGGAGCCAGGGCAAGGAAAAAAACACAACATCTCCATTGAATATTGAAGGTGGGCGACAATTTGAGAGCTCTTCTGAGAAGGAAGTCGACAGCTTTTTTCCGAACATGAATGCAGGGCAAAACTGCTCGCAGCTGCTGGTAAGGTCCAGGCAGGGCTTCCCAGCTGACAGACCCACACTGCTGGGGGTCGTTGCGGGGCGGCACTGCCTTGCAGGCGGCAATCTGAGCGCGCAACGTGAGAAGTGCGTTTGCTGCTTTCCACTGGCCCGGAAAACTGGTCGAGTTTCGCACTCCACGTTCTGACATCTTTCGAAGCCAAAAAACAATGCTGAGTTTGAATGTTCAAAAAAATCCAGCCTGGCTCAATGTACTTGAATTTCTGGGCAGAACTGATCTCAAAGAATGGTTCTTCATCCTTCCAGGAGAACCCTCTTGCAACTCCATCGCACGGGATGTGGAAGTCAACAACTTTCTCACCTTGCCGCTTGACGTAGACATAGTAGCCGGTGTGCGATGGATTGGGCGCAAGTCCGACCACTTCTATACCGTCCCGCACTTTTCCCACAATCTCTCTCATGTCTCCACATTTGCCAATGATCAGCAAGCACTTGTGCTGTGCATGTGCATAGTTTGTCATCGACGCGCTTTCAAAGCGATCTCGATGCTTAGCAATGCTGGTTGCTCCCCGAGAAGACATGACCGCTTCAATGGCGAAAGTTGAACCGTCCTCCAACGTAGTATAGATGTCAACCTTCCCCTTTTTTGTGCTCTCCAAACTATTTGTACTACCAACCAAGCGCTTCAACTCCCGAACTGCGGCATGGGTGTAGTGAACCTCAAATGGGAGCTCTTCTTGCGAAACATCAAAACGAATTCCGAACTTGTCCCCTTGGATGGCCACCACATCTGCAAAAAGCAAGTATGGCAGCGCTCGCAAGAGCAAATCTGTGCAAGAAGTTGGGCTTCTGTCCACATCCACTGTCAGCTGCCGCTTCTTCGCAAGCGCTTGGCGATAGTAGGAAGCCATCATGTAATTGGCGACGCCATATTTTGTCCCGAGCTTTGCCCAATCCGATGGCGTAAACTCCTCTGGAATTCTGTCAGTCGCTGGCACAACAGGAAGCGTGAAACCAACTAAAGTGAGCTTGCGCCGGAGATTCGCGTCCATACCAGCAGTTGGACCCTCGCACAAGATGTCCACAAATTGTTGCGGTATGCTCTGCGGGTCTGAAAAAGCTCCGTTGACACGAATGGCGCGAACAGTCTGAAGCTTCCCCATCAAGCTGTCATCTGGGGTTTCTGTCCAATTGTCTGTGTCCCATGCCTGACTGACTTCGCCTTGTGCGCGAGTCAAATCCCAGCGAGTGCTGTCCCCGCTTTGCTTCTGCTGCACCCATTCCATGCTTCTTATGAATAGACTTCTGTGTCCAGCACAAAAGTCCATGAAGAAAGCAACCGCATCCTGGGACAAATAGACATCAGCCTCAGCAAGTTGATCAACAAGTTCATTGGCATGTGGGATTGGGGGAGTCCACATGTACTTTGCAGTAACTGCCGCTGGTGTTAAGTAGGTCCGTCCTTGCTGATCTGTTCCTTCAGACGCTGCAGATAAGAGCAGAACCATTGGACGCCTTTTCAGATACGAGGGCTTTTTCAGGAACTGCTCGTGGAACTCGGGGCAAGCAAAGAGCAAGTGGCATTCATCGAAAACCAGGACTTGGTCATTGTCATAGATCAATCTTATCATATCTTGCAAGTCTTTGTCTTTCACATTCGAGTTTTGTCCCCAAACAGCTGCCCTCATCTTTCTCTCCCACATCTCAAAAATGGTTGCATCCTTTGCAAGTGGGGCATGGACTCCAAAATACTTGGACGGCTGTGTGGTACACAAATGCTGCGCCAATGTAGACTTGCCGCTTGCCACACCAGCACGTAGAAAGACCACCCTCTCATCTTGCAACAAAACATCCAGCTTGCGAATGGTTTCATCCAAGGGGATGAACACGTCGGTGGTGAAGACGGCGGGATCCTCTGCTTTGGGAATTCTGCGCTTCACTGGCATCTCTTCTGGATATATCTTCTGCGCTTTTCCTGAGCTCAACACTTTCGCCGCTCTTGCAACCCCGACCAACGTGCTGCTCCAGCGGCGCAAAACGGCTTTGGTCTCTTTCACCGTGCCGTTGTCCTCCAGCACCCTGTCGGCTTCTGCGACCACCTGAGCGAGGCCAAGCTGGGACGTCGCTTTCTCTGAAGGTCCGCCGCCTCCTCGAGATCGCGCCGGTCCTGACAACCAACAAGCCCAGCGTTCAAGCCTGATGCACGTGTCCCCGGCCTCCGCACCACTGTCCTGGCACGATTGCAACCGGCCAAATTTACAACTGCTGATTGGAGCGTCCTGCTGCGGGCTGGCGCGCGAAGCAACTCCGCCACGCCCAGGGTGCCAGCTTGTCACCTCAAGAGGAGCTAAGAATCCAGGCAAAGACAATTACAGTGACACCGAGATCTGGACCTGCGCCCTGCGAGAATCCTGGCGCACCAATTGCAACACACAACACAGGAGCCCTGACTCACAGCCCCAGCAGTGCGCACGAACGGACGTCCTCTTTCAAGCCCTTCAGGGTTGCTTTGGCCTGCGTCGCACGAAAACCGCTTGTGAATCTCAGACAAAGCACGCAGTCCTGCCTCTTCCACGAACTCGCGCAGTTTTTGCTTCAACTCGTCTTTCTTCCCTGAAAGCGTCCACTTCCCTGGGTTTATCTTCTGCGCTTTTCCTGAGCTCAAACCCTTCACCGCTCTTGAAAACCCCGACCCATGTGCTGCTCCAGCGGCGCAAGACAGCTTTTATCTTTTCCACCGTGTCGTTGTCCTGCAGCACCCGTTCGGCTTCTGCAATCGCCTGAGCGAGGCCAAGCTGGGACCTGTCCTTTCTCTGAAGGCCTGCCGCCTCCTCGAGATGGAGCCGGTCCTGGCAGCCAAGAAGCCCAGCGTTCTGATGCACATGTCCCCCAGGCCTCGGCATTGTTGTCCTGGCAACTGCAATCGTCCAAACTTGCAAGCTTTGGGTCCGAAGGTCCTCTCGTGCAGCCCTGGCACGCAAGGCGACTCCAGCATGCAACCAGCGCTGGCTCGATGCCTCACTAAGCTCGCAGGATGCGAAAAGGGTCAATCTGCTTGCGTTAGTGGACAAGTCTGAAGATTGGGCCGGTGCGCCGTTGCGGTCCTCGCATCACAGCACAAGCAGGAACATTCGCAAAGAGGGACTTCACGGTCCTTCCGACCGGGAACTCCTCGCGAAAACTCGTGGGCGGCGGACAGGGACTCCTGAAGCCCGAACGAGTCAGCTGCCAACCCCTCAACGTTCCCAAGACCCAGGCCGTGCTCGGCCACTGCAATGAGCAACGCCAGCGCATTCCCAGGCTGAGGCACGCACCTTGCAAAACCACACAACAAACAGCGCAGCATATCAGCTTGCGGGCCTTGGCTTTTTATCCTGGCCCTCATCACAGCCATGGCCATTCCTGAACTTCACGGGCCTGCAAGGCCAATCCTACCGCTGGATACGTCGGCAATGTTTGCCCAGTGCCTTCAAGCATTTGATGAGCACTCTTGGGCGGCGGACGACTTCTTGCGTGCCAACATGTCCTTGCCGCTTCGTGTTATGTTGGTCCGCGTGTTCACGACCCTACGCGGCTTGTTTACTAGCACTCTGGTTGCCGCTGGCGCTGCTGGAGCCGTCAAAGACGCCACCTTGCCGATGCCCTTGCACTGGACTGACACTCAAAGCTCCTTTCGCTCCCCGAATGCCCCAAATTGCCTGTACAGTCACAAAGAACAACTATGCTATCTCGCCGCCGGGGGTCAAAAGGTAAGAGTCTGCCAATACACTTCAAGAGCATTGCGAACTTCGCATGGAGGCGGACACTGCTGATTTTTACATGGCTGGCATCCTTCATGGAAGAAGAGGGTGTCCCCGGCCTCGGCACTGTTGTCCTGGCGGCAACCGGCAAAAGATGCGAACAGGCTTCGGGTCGGAGGAGTCCTCTTGCGCAGCCCCGGCGCGCCGAGCGACTCCGGCATGCAACGGGTGCCGTTTTGCCTGAAAGAGCCAAAGTGCAATCTGCTTGCGCCCGCGGGCAACTCTGAGAACTGGGCCAACATGCTGTCCTGGCACTCAGCACGAAACAAGAACATCCAAAGGAGGGACTTCATGCTCCTTGAGCCCAGGAACTCCTCGAGCAAAGTCCTGGGGGCGGCGACAAGGGACTCCTGAAACCCGAAAACCTTCGAAAAAAATGTGTCCCAAGACCCAGGCCGTGCTCGGCTGCACGAGCAGCGCCAATGCAATCCCGAGAAGGCAGAGGCACATACCTGGCCGCTGCCTACCGCGGGCACGGTAGCGTCACAAGCTTGCCAGCCTCGGCTTTTGGTCCTGGTCCGCATCATCGCCATGGCTATTCGAAAAGCGCTTGAGCGGCCTGCGATTCCTCAAGCACTGGCACTAGACCCATCGGGCAACCATTGCGAGCTGTTGTTGTGTCAGTGTTGATGAGTACCCTCGAGCCAAGTTTCCAGAGCAAACACAAGATTGACTGGCTTCTTTGGCAACACCAACGCACGGGTTTGGATGCTCCTCCTCCTTTTCACTCGCGGCCTGAAGGTCGGTCGGGCCAAGCCTTGCAAGGCTTCGCAGCGTCCATCCGTCAGACTAGATGACCCACATCCTGCCGCTGCATCAAAGTCCAAGCGAGATACCAAACTGGCCTGCCTGCAAAACAAGCAGCCGAAATCGGCACCGGGCCGCCAGGGCCTGAAGGGCGGGGGTTTCTGGCGTCCCTGGTCCCTGGGATCACTGCGGCCTCTGGGGTCCCTGGGTCCCTAGGGTCCCTACATTCCCTAGGGTCCCTCCTAAGGTTTCTAGGGTCCTAGAGTCCCTGAATCTGCACACGTGTGCATCAGACGTCTCGCCAAGGCCCCAGAGTGCGCTCGTCCCTGTCAACGCACGGCGGGTTCAGGGACCTTGGGGACCTTTAGGGAATTTAGGGACCTTAGAGACCTTTAGGGACCCTAGCAACCCTGCAAACCCTACCCTAGGGACCCTAGGGACTCCGAGGACTTCAGGGACCCAGCGACCCAGAGACTTCAAGAGATCCTTGGTGGCCCCAAGGATTTTGGGGCTTGAAGGGATCTTGGCAAGAACTTCACGCCGGGTACCATTCAGCCTGGGCATTCTCCAGCATCATAGGGTCATGCAAAAACACAAAATGCCGAAGCCAAGACACACACACACACACATTGCAAATGGGCCACAACACCACAACATCATCTCCCAACTACAAACTAGAAAACACCATGTAGAGACATACCAACATAAAGGCACAAAGACATAAAGATATAAAGATATAAAGAGAAAGATACAAAGATACAAAGATATAAAGATATGAATTTGTAGAAATACAAAGATATAAATATATGAAATTCATAAAGAGATACAAATACGTAGAGATATGAAGATATAAATGTATGGAAATAAATAGATTTGAGTACACGAAGATAAATAGATGTATGGAAAGTTGCTCGAATGGAAAAACAACAGAAGCTTTGCCCTTCCGCGCGTCTTTGTGTCCCCTTGCGTGGCAAGCTGCAACCAACCGAAGCTTGAGAGATGACTTCACACTTCACAGGATCTCTTGCCCCCAAGACCCAGGGTTGCTGGGGTCCCTAAGGTCCCGTGGGGTCCCTAAGGTCCCTTAGGGTCCCTAAGGCCCCTAGGGTCCGTAAAGGTTTCTGGGGTCCCTAAAATCCCTGAAAACGCCGTGTGTTGACAAGGATGTATGCACTTTGGGACCCTGGCCAGACGTCTTGATGGAAGGACGTTGCTTCATGGCACCTGCAGCGGACGCACGCGTGCCCAGGGACCCAGGGACCCCAGGGACCCCAGGGACCCCAGGGACCCCAGGAACCACAAAGATCGCAGGGACCCTCGGGACGGTTCCAGGGGTTCCAGGGGTCCAGGGGCTGCAGGGGTTCCAGGGGTTCCAGGGGGTTCCAGGGGTTCCAGGCATTCAGGGGTTCCAGGGCTTGAGGGGTTCCAGGGGTTCCAGAAGTTCCAGGGGTTCCAGGGGTTCACTGGGTCAAAGATCAAGGGGGCTGACAGATTGGTGACAAAGATCAAATGACAATAACCTGCACGGGACTTCTTGGCCATGACAATGGAACGCGGCGAGGGCCCGGGTGGAAGCTCAAAAGTTCGCAGTGCCTGAGCGCCAGGAAAAAAAAAGATTTTGAGGAAACCACGCTGCCTGACTTACAAAAAACCTGACAGTACGACTTGACGGGGTTGGGGCAATCGCTCTCAAGGTCAAGGGTTCACCAGGTTGGAGAGACAATACAAACTGCGGGCCTGGCTCAACGAGGTCACGATTTCCAAAGATACACGGGCCTGACGGCGCGGCTTCAAGGGGTTGGCAAAAGCACACAAAAAAGCAACGCGAGTCGCGCAAATCCTGGCACGGGACGGGGGGGGGTGTCCGGGCCTCGCTAGGCCAAAGATCAGGGGGCCTGACAGATTGGCGAGTTGGGACCCAAACCTCAAAGATCAGTTGGCATTGATGGCCATGACAACGGAAGCAGCGAAGGTCCGGGCAGTATGCCTCGATGTCAAAACAAAGCCTGGCACGGGGAAGCGCGAAAACACGACCTTCAAAATCCAGGACCAAACCTGAAACACTGCTCAAAGGCCGAGTTGACACCAATCCGCACAGGTGCCCAGCCACAGAGTCCCCAGTAGCACGAATTGGATCCACCTGCAAGCGGCCAACAAAAAGTGACAAAAAGGCAACTCCAAAGCGCGGCGCTGCGAGAAGATCTGCACGTCGAAGTCTGGGCACAGGGCACGTGAGGTCAAGAAAAACTGTGAGTCTGAAACCACGCCTTTGCACCCGCGAGCGGTTCCCTGCCGCCCGACCCCAGAACGTCCCCGAATCTCGCCTTCACAAGGCTCACGTGCTTGGGGAAGCTCTTTCCAAACACGACCGACAACGTGAAAATCATGAGAAAAACGCAACACCGGCAACCTGTCATGCAAAATCACGCTCAAAAACCACGCAAAGCTGAATTTACGGAAAAACAAACAAAATGGTGTTTTTTTCCGGAAATGGCGGCCCTCGAGCCGCGTGAGCCGAGGGCCGTCCCTTTAGTCGGACCATTTTGTTGTCCGCCCTATAGAAAAAGGACCGGCAAGCAAGAGTCAAGATGACTACCATCGCCACTAGGGCAAGCAATGCGGCCTGGTGGAGGTCCGCGACCTGCAGGTGAAAAACTGCGTTCTTTTTATCGTGGATGTCAGACGTAAGCGAGCGCGCCCGTAACTGACCCCCAGGTGCCCTAGGTGCCCTGGGTGCCCTACCGACCTGAGCCGGGGCGGGTCCCGCCCAGGTGCCCTGGGTGCCCTGGGTGATCCTCTCAACCAGGACCTGAATTGCCAGGGTCCTCTTGGCCAGGATGTAACCGACCTGAGCCGGGGCTGGGTCCCGCCAGAAGTGCCCCCCTGGCAGGGTCCCCGGCGCCGGGGCAGATCCCACCCGAAGCGCCCTAGGTGCGACCCGTTGGGCGAACCATTGAAAAACGAATCCCCCCGGGCCCGTTGGGCAGACCATTGAAAAAGAATTCCGAAACCCCTCCAGACCCGTTGGGCAGACCATTGAAAAAAATCCAAAACCCCTCCAGACCCGTTGGGCGAACCATTGAAAAACGAATCCCCCCGGGCCCGTTGGGCAGACCATTGAAAAAAAAACGAAACCCCTCCAGACCCGTTGGTCGAACAATTGAAAAACGAATCCTCCCGGGCCCGTTGGGCAGACCATTGCAAAAAAAATCCGAAACCCCCTCCAGACCCGTTGGGCGAACCATTGAAAAACGAATCCACCCGGGCCCGTTGGGCAGACCATTGAAAAAACATCCGAAACCCCTCCAGACCCGTTTCCCTAGGTGCCCTGCCGGGGTCGTCTTCGGACCGGGGCCGGGGAGAGGGGGCAGGGCACCAGGACATGTAGGGCACTTGGGGGGGACCGGGGCCGGGGGGGCAGGGCACCCAGGGCACCTAGGGCACCTAGGCCTAGGGCGGGACCGGGGCTGGGGAGAGGGGGCAGAGCACCCAGGGCACCTAGGGCACTTGGAAGGACCGGGGCCGGGGAGAGGGGGTACCGGGGCACCGCCGGGGAGAGGTAGGGCGCCTCCGGGGCACATGTTTTTGTTTTTTGTTTAACGGGCTCCGTTTTTTGGTGGCGTCTTTGATGGGCTCCGTATTTGGTACGCTTGTTTTGCTTGTATTGTTCAGTTGATTCTTCTTCTTCAAAAACAAAAGAAAGAAGGGGAAAAACTCAAGAAAAAAGAAGAAGAAAAAAAATCAACCACCCCAACCGCACAAGCCACAGGACAAGGACCCAAGTGCCCCTGGCTCCCCTTCAACTCTCCGAGGTTGCGGCCGGCTCAAGGTCACGGTCTCTCAAAGTCACGGGGTTCAACCTCACAAGCAAGGACATCAAGGTCTCGATGAAAACAAGGATGAGCGGGTTAAGGGGATTTAGGGCGGAGGGTCACAGCACAGCCAGGCTCCCGGCGAACAGCCTCGCTGCCCCCCAGACCCCCCCCCAGAAGCGCCCTCCAAAAAAAAAGGGGCTGCAGCACGTCCCTTTCCCTCAAGTCCACAACCAACGTCACGTGCAAAAAGAGACGTGTCACGGCAAGAAAATCCATGCGTGAAAACCGTGCAAAAACGAAATTTTCAGAAACGCAAAAACGCAAAAACGCCTTTTTTTCCGCAAGAACGCCTGTTCAGAACGGGCAGGAGCCGCCGCCCGTGCCCAGCTTCACCTGCAGGTCGCGGACGTCAAGGACCAAGCCGCACTGCTTGCCCATGATCCAGACCTGCCGGGCTTCGACGTTGGCCTTGCACTCGCAGCCGGCCAAAGTCTCCGGTCTCTGGATCTTGTTGCCGTCAGCGTCCCAAAAGCGGACGTTCCGCGAGTCCAGCTTGCACTTCAGGAACGTGGCGCCCTGTCGGGACTCTTTGAGGCAGCTCTGCCATCTGTCCTGCACGTCGGACCCCCATCGTTTCGTCAGCTCGTCAACGCATCGCTTCTCAAAGTCCTCCCAAGCAGCCCACGCCTCTGAATCTCTTTCCGTCGCAAAGCAGACGTTCTGCCGAGGCCCTTGGTCCTTATCGAAGTTGCTGGGCTCCCAGACAATGCTGGTCCACTGGGACTGCCAGACGATGTGCTTCCCCTCGCTCCTCAAGGGTGCCGACTTGGCTCCCTTGGGGCTGGTCTGAACCTCACCGATGGCGAATGTGGTCGCGATTGTCATGACGCCGGTCTCTTTTCCTCTAGGGATAAAAAAATATTGGTCCGATGAACGCGTCGGCCTCCGCTCACGCAGCCTGCGGCCATTTC